ATATCACTTTTTGTGTTTTACTTTTACAAATTAACATGAGTTATGTGACATAAAATGTACAATTTACTGTCCTCCTCTTCACTCAACCGACATCAAGAATGCTACGGTGTGGTCTTATGGAATGATCAAATTTAACTAAAGTATTCCAAAAATTCAAACCAATCATATTTTCCAGGGCAACATAGTAAAACAACCTTAAAACTCCCTCCACATTTCCCCTTAAACCCTTTCCACTCTCAAAATCCTTTTACCATTACACATTATTCATGGCTTCCTTTCAAAATCTCTTCCTCGCTCCTTTACTTTGAGTCTTTCTCTCTCTTCCTCTTTCTCACTCCTCCATCCATGGCCTCCTCATATCCAGAGGGTTACCAGCAGGCCTCTCCCCGAAGGACATAAAGTCCTACACCGAGTCAGAATCCGGCTTTCTTGAAGTGTTTCTTGAATGGCCATGCTTGACCAAATTTGATACCATGGCTTTGTCTGATAGGGCTGTGAGAGCAAATCTTACATATGGCAGTCTTACTGGAGTTGAAGGGCTTTAACAAGAAGAGCTTTTTCTATGGCTTCCGGTCAAAGAAATCATTGTAAATGATCCCACTTCAGGTCTCATACTTTTTGACGTTAGTGTTGCTCACAAGCAACTTTCACTCTCTCTCTTTGAAGATCCACCGGATTGTAATTCAAAAAGTAAGTCACTTTTTTCTTTTCTTTATGGTATTTAGATCTTTATGTATATGCCAAAAAAGACCATTGTCTGCTTGTAGCATTTGCTAGAACAATGACTAGCGAATTAGGTTACTAGTACTACTGATTTTAATTGGATTCTTCTTTTTTTTTTTTTAAGGTGTGTTCTATTGGTTTTATTTTTCATGAAAAATGTCATTTTTTCACTCAAGTTCCTATTTGTGGATGTTAAATTGACAATTTTTCTTGAAAAATATTTTTCAAAAGTTGATTACGTGATCATATTTTCCTCAAAATTAATGAAATCATTTTTTTTTAGGGAGGAGTGTGGTTTTATTTTCGAGGCAATTCGCTCTCTCTCTCACATTTACCTTTTCTTTTTCAAGAACTGCACTACATGTACAAGAAATCTGTTACAGGTTTTCAACAGGGAGACAATGCAGCTTTATACCTTTTTCAATTGCATAGAACATATTTTCATTCCATACAAATTCTGTGCTTACCATTTTTTTTTTTTTTTTAGTTTAAAGTTTTATAGTGTTAGTATTAGAGAAAACATAATATTTCAAATAATTTTTCTGTCCCAATTTTTTTATTATTCTTTACTATAATCCCTTTTATTTTCTTTTGAAATTATGCATGCTTTGGCAATAATGCAGGTGGATTCAAGAAAAGATAAACTTCCAAAGAAGATCACAGTCCTATTTGTAACTTAATTCGGCCTTATTAATTGTACGTTAACAGGGCTGTGAAGATTTGGAATCAGATTTTCTAATTAGATCAGAAATGCTAATCTTCCCAACATCTATGGTCTCTTTTTCATTCCACATGATTTTTTTTTTTAATAATCAGAACATATTTGACATGCAGCATTAAAGAGGATTAGATAGTACCAAACATTACAACGACAAAAAAATTGTTTACAAACAAACAAGCTTCCAATTAGCTAAATAAAGTATGCATTCTTTGTATAATTCTTGGGATCTTGGGGCTTGAGCAAAGACATAATCACAGACACAGAAAATATCATAATTATACTCTTCACTGGAGTCTTCCATTGATAAGAATCTAGGCCCCAACGAAGGCTATTTTATTGGATTCAGTTAGGAAACTTAATTATATCATCTACAATTTATTTAAAAGTGCGTTATATTATTTTGAAAATGTCATTTTTCCCATTCAAATTCCTACTCTTGAATGTTTGACTAACAATTTTTTCCATAGAAAATATTTTCCAACTTTTGGTCACGTGGTCATATTTTTCTCAAAAACAAGAAAAATATTTTCTCTTAAGAAGGAGCGATTTTTATTTTCTAGATAATTCACTCTCCGTTTCTATCTTTTAAGTCTTATTTTATCAACTCTCTCTCATTTGCCTACAAATAAAAGATGGACAAATATATTATTTTTCTAGATTGAAAACTAAATCAATCAAACACATTTAATTAGTAATTTCCATCCAAATAAGTTATAGGCAATTCAATTATCTAAAATTTATTTTCTTTCCATACAAATTTCATGTGAGCAATTAGATGCACCATAAGTTCAAAATACATTAAGAATGACACAAATGTTTAGGGGGTTAAACATACTACTCAATTTATAGAGAAATTCCATATTATTCACTCATCTTTACAATTTTTTTCAAAGAATTCTTTCTGTTTGTTTCATTCGGCTACTCAATTGAAATCCATTAAATTTTTAACGGAATATTTGATATAACGGAGGACAATGTATTGATAAAACATAGGTTCTTGATGCTTGACATTCCTTTGGTCTAATTGCTATTTGAAGAGTTTATTATTTATGGCTATGAGTTCAATTAATGCTCTACTATTTTTAATACTAATTTTTTGAGTAATTTTTAAAAAATAATTTTAGTGTTAAGTTTTAGTTGATTTCTTAAGTCGATCACCAACATGGTGCTCAACATTGCAAACAACAACACCTTCAGGGATGGATCAAAGGGGCAAAACATTGCCAACGACGAGGTTGGCCTTCTTGTTACAGTAGAGAAACTGGCCGGTGTATATTCCCTCAGCGGCGACAAAGAGCTCCTTTTGGTGCTTGTATCGGAAATGGTGCTAGAAGGTGACACGGGCCAGTGGGCCGCCACGCCCAAGGTCATGGATTATCTCTGTCACAACACCCTTAATGTACCCATTGCGCTCGTTGAAGTAGAGGGAGCGGAAACGGGCCAAGCCCTTGTGGTGGTGGGTGTGGGACTTGAAAACAGAACCTACTCTCTTACGCTGTGCCCTGATTACATGGCCCATTCTAGTGTGTGCTTTCCCTATGTGCCGGCGGATGGGAAAGAGGAGGTAGAGGCAACGGCGACAGAAGTTGGGAGTTGGCAACTGAGACTATTATATATGAGGAGGCAAAATGGGAGAGAATTTCGAGTTAATTGTTCCAATAGTCGCTAATCTTCAATGAGCAATCGAAAATATGGACCTAAGTTCAGTTGTCAAAACTCGATATTTTAATTTCGGTGACCAAATTAAAGATATGAACCTAAGTTCGATAACCATTGAAACAATTAATTCGAGAATTTCAGTGAGGCCAAGAGGTGCTGTGTTTGGATTGTGTTGTCCTAGGTTTTGTTTGGTTATATGATTTGCTTATTCCAATTGGGTATAGACTGCGTTTATTGGTACCAGTAATTGTACATTACGGAAAAATACATATATACATCAATACAAAATATTAATTCACATCTTACCATGTCATGATAATATTAACTAAAAATACTATATTGATGATTAAATATGTTTAAAATACTAGCTCCCAAAATTAAATTCCAAACTAGAATTTGTAACCGATGTAAACTTAAATTGCCTCATTCTAAGTCCTTCCATAAACAGAATTTAATTAAAATATATATATATATATATATATATATATATATATATGTATGTATATATCTATGTATGTATGTATGTGTATGTATGTGTGTGTGTGTGTGTGTGTGATGAATGTACACATTCATTACAAGTCGGTTTGAATACAGAAAATATTACTACATCGAAAACACAAACGTTGAATCATATTAATCTTCTAAGGCGATCAATACATATATTGTTCGACGAAAATACTGTCGAGATTTCATTATAACCCCATGTATGTTTTAATATAATTTTGGGATTTTGGACGTGGAATATGAAACAACACTAATTTAGTGATTTTGTTCTTTAGTTTGACATAATAAGGGCATGTTTATTAGAGTAATCTTAGTTAGGTAATGAATAACTTATTATTTGTTTACTTTTTTCACATTCTATTTTTACTATGGGCATGTTTGGTAGTGATCATGAGAATTTATTTTTTGAGTGTTAAGGGGAAAAGTGAGCCCCACCTATGATTGAAGAAGCAAAAAATGACGACTGAAATAGTAAAATAATCGTAAAAAATCAATTTTTGAGGGAAAAAATTGTTATCTAATGGGTGCTATATAAAAACAGTATATATGGTTTAAAAAAATGTTGAAAAGTATATTACAAACATTTATTAAATAGTAGATACGTGGCATAATTTCCTCTGTACCCCATGGCCAAAGCCCATTTAGATGGACAAGTCAGACTAATGATGGATGGGCAACAAATCAGTTGGGCATAAAAATAATAATAATAATAATAAAATAAAAAATTCTCTATAAAATAAATATTTTTAAATTGAAAATCTTGGATTTAATCAAATTAACATATTTTGTTATGCAGTTCAGATCGAATTGTCGAAGTGATCCAACATTGAAGAAACAATCCAATATTTCACACTTGCTATATGACTTGACTTTACGTAGTTTTTTTACTAGTCTATTTAACGTGTTCTTTGAAGAGGTGAATAAAAGCAGTTAAATTGAAACATCGAATAAAAATGGTTGTTTGGGTTCATGTGGAAACCAAATCGCTTTGAAACAATTCGAATTAAATTTCAATAGTCAAAATACAATCTTTTGAGATCAATGATTTAAGTTTAAAATCATTGCTTTTTATTTATAACAATACTAATAGGGATGGCAACAAGAGTGGTTGAAATAATGCAACCATTAACATCCCCGGCCCCCATGAAGATTTTTGGGAGACGAAATGGGTAAAGGACAAGAACCGTATGAGATGAAAATATCTCCATTTATTGCTTCGTTCGATTATTTTGAAAAAAAAAAAATAATGAAATCAAAACCATAAAAATAACATAAAATAAAATAAAATAGAATAATAACATTCTGGACAGGTCCAAGAAATCCTTCGCCATCAAGTAAGAAGTGCGCCCATCTAACCAGCTCAAAGTAGAGAGTCAACATTGACACAAGTTCGTGAAAGAGCTCAAGAAATCCTTTGCCAATTTAGGAGATACTGACATGGAATATTATTGAATGCTTACATCACAGACGAAAAATATTTCTCGAAGTGGTTAATTACGAAAGTAGCGCCATCAGCTTGTGCTTAAAGAGCAACATCAACAAACACACACGAGCTACATTGAGACTTCTCACTATGATATCCAATGTATAATTCAATAACAAACAAGTAAGATTGTATAGTATTGTACAACTTGTATTTGCATCACAATGACAAGCTTCGACAAATTCATGCACACACTGCAAAAGGAGGATGATAACTAATCTCTTTTGATCAAAATTACCATTATGGCCATGACAGCCAATCCCATGAAGGATGCTTCCAAAGCCGTGTCTAAAGAGTTTAATCTCGCACTTCCATTAGAATTCGCAGATGCTTTATCAACTTCAAAGAAATTCCGAAAGTAATCAGACAAGCTGCTTAACATATCTACCACTGTTACCTTGATTTTCTTGAAAACATCTTTAGGCTTACTCCCATCAGTGGATTCCCCGGAATCGGATGATGTGTCAACTGTGTTTAGAGTTGATTGATCCGGAAGATTATTACCTGCCAATAAAAAGACGATAAAGATGTATACATATTTTTCTAGCAATCACTAGATGAATGACAGACATAACCAAGATTTCTTACTGTTCTTATGTGATTGGAGAAACTCTTGAAGCTCTTGGTTTTCTAACACTGCGTTCCACACCTTTGTGTCATGAACAATTGAAGCGACAACATTCTAGCACAAGAATAGATTCAGCTATCATAATAAAAAATTTAAGGTTGGTGCCGACTAAGCTATAGCATTAATGAAATTATATGTATCTACTGCTGCCCAAAAATTTCATGTGCTTTGAATGCTCAATGTTGAAACTAGTGCATGTCCACTACCACTCCAAACATGCAGATAGTATTCGACTTTGAGTTCAAAATAAATTAACAAATTATATATTCCATGTCCGTGCACATTAAGAAAATAAAACAAATTCATACATATTCAGTTAGAAAAATGCACACCATCCTAGAATAGAACGAGAGATATCAACAGGAAAACCTGAACTCTAGAGCTTTCATTTAGAAGCCTAAATGCCTGAATAGCATGCATCAGCTCTCCGGAGACTGGTGTAGACCTGTCGGTAACGAGGGCTTTATTCTCCAATACTTGTGTGTCTGAAAGCACCAATGAGCTTGGGTGATGATCTTCTATAAGCAAACCGTCATATGCAACGGGCTCAGGCGAAGATAAATACACCCTGAAAATTCAAGAAACAATTACAGCGAAAATATCAAACGAACATTTGCTTGCAGAAACAAAAAGATAATCAGAAGCAGGACTGAATCACATCCTGCCAGAGCCAAGCTTTTCTTTAGCCATGGCTAGAGTTTCACAAGCAATAATTAGGAAAGTTGGAACCTAGGTCCTCAACTTGAGGTAATAATTTGAAAGGCACACAAATGGACTAATAGTGACTCTGTTACTTGATCTTAGTTAGCTGAACAAACCGTATCCCTTCCTCAAGCCTTGCTATCAATAGTGCAAATACAAAAGTAGAAAGGGGGAAAAAAAACGTTTATGGATCATTCATATCATATAATACTAAAATTAAAAGGATAAACAAAGTGAAGTGTTGAGCACTAATATAATTCCGAAAATATATGATCACTTGTGCTTTCAACGCAACAAAAAATTCTGTCCAAATGTTAATAAGACAGTAAAAAAATTAAATCCAACAATTACTTCAAAACTACTAATTATTTCAATAAAACATTCAAAAATTCAAATTTCTCAACGAAAATGAGTAATAACATACTTTTCGAGAGCGTCAGAGAGTTGAGAAGTTGCCTCTTTTGCTTCCTGAAGACTCGGCACGCCACCAAACACAACCCTAGGCAAAGACTCGCCGGCCGTCACCATCAGATCCTCCTCACCGCCGGCGAACTCCCAGTCATCGAGCTCCCAGCACCGTCTCTGCACATCGACCTCGGACTGTGACAAAGCCACAACGTTCACGTCCTCAGCCGATGAGGCCATCGACGTCACTGGAGGAGCGGATGTAGCCATTCGAGCAACGGCTGAAATCGGGTAGTTTTCTGGCGTGAGTCCTCGGAGGCCGACATTTCCCAGCGTTATCCCAGCCGCCTTCACTGCAGTCCTCATCGCTCCTCCGCCTCCCATAGTTAATTATAATTTGGTATATTTATTTCTACGTGATGATGAATGAAGCCCTAATTTGGATTATAAACCAATTGAAGAGTTGAATCGAATCGGTGTATCGGATGTACCGGTTGTCTCCTGAGAATTCAAGCGTGTTTCGATTCCGATTGTAAACCAGGAGACGACACGCGTAACTTGTCAACACACCTTAACGAGTAAGGAAGGATTACACGAGAGAAGATAAGAATATATATATTAAAAAAAAAATTGAGATAAATCAACTTTTTCTCCGTTTAGCTATTATTACTTAATCCACTTATGAATATTAATCTCTTTACAAAATGGTGTCATGTCGTGTACAGTCTTACTGACTCCAAAGTAACGTCAAGCCAAGTTAAAAATCCTGATGGAATTCATTAAGATTGTCTCTCGATAAAGTTTCGATTCAAGATAAAGTTAGAAGATAACAAGTTTAACTTGTAATTAAGAAAGTGACTAATTAGTAATGAAGGATTGCAGGATGGTAGATAAGAACGTATAAAGATGTCAAATAAAGAAATAATCTATCAAGATAGTATTTAGTACAAGTTCAGCAATAATAACATGACTGTCAATTCAATAAATTTAAGTTAATCCACGTGATCCACCACAAATTTGTTCACCAATTAATTAATGTTGTGCATCACAATTGTTTAATAGAAATTTAAAAAAAAAAAAAAATAGTGCCTAGTAAATCTTTCCTCATGTCAAAAGTAAAATGTTCTATGTTAACTCTTTTTGAACGTCTCCGTTCGACAGTTGTTTCACTTGTTTTTTATACTACAGTAAGATGTAAAGATGAAGAAAAACACAATGAACAAAACCATTCATATATTTGTGTAAGCGTGTGTAACTAGAACAAGTGAATGAAAGAATTTCTACGGGAAAAATGAACACCATAAAATTACTTAAAAAGCAACTGCGACAATTCACAAAAAGACAAAACAGATAATTCTCCTAATGTCATGCAATTCAAGAGCCATTGCTAATTCAAGAGTTTGTAATACATGGAAGCATGGAAAGTTCGACGAATACATACAACTCGAAGAGAGATCATTTATTACGTTTCATCAAAATCATCATTATCACTGAGACCACCAACCCAACAATCGATTTTACCAAATTATTTGAATAGTCAAATCTTGTACTTCCATCGTCATTTTGAGGCATTCGATCAGCTTCAGTTAAATTCTTGAACAATACGGACCAATGGATCATCCAATCCATCACGTCCACCACAATCCCCTTCATCATCCGCAAAAAATTTGTAATCGACTCAAATGAGATATCATTATCGACTGTATCGACTGTACCCAAAGACGGCTGATCGAGAATACTAGTAGCTGCCAAAAGCAACACAGTAAGGAATTATGTGCATATCTTGTACAGCAGCATGGGATGAATGCCACAAATACATAATCGAATTTCTTACCGAGGCTCCTGCGTGATTGGAGCAAATCCTGAAAATCTTGGTTTTGTATCACAGCATTCCACACATTTGAATCAGCAACAATAGATGAAACAGCATTCTAGCACAAGAAGTTAACATGATAAAATATATTGTTTCTAGTACTTCTCAATAGTACGAGGTTTCCTAAAATCTCAAACGTTTTTTTGAAACGACCCAAACTTCTACGTTCGAATCGTTTAGCTTATGAGAGACTTAAATTGAATCATATTATCAATTGATTAACTTACCCAATTCGTACAAGGTTTAACTTAAAATTCTCGTAAAGCAATTAAGCAATTTGTTCAATTGGTACCATTGAACTTAAATATCTCATCAAGCAATTGAACAACTTGACTTAAATCCCTCATGAGATGATTGCTCAATTGGTACCAAAATTCAACTTAAGTCTATCATGAGATGAATGTCAAATTTTAATTTATGTCGATGTCAACAATTAATATGCGATTTATGGATCCACAACTTTTTAACAATTTATTTCATCAATTTTTATCAAACTCTACTAAAAATTTGACTTTAATCCCCACTAAATATGGGCTAAGAAAATGGGCCTCCAATGATGCTCTTGAAAGTGACCTTGGGGATGGACCGATAGAGCATTTCTAGGTGATTTTCAGTGGATTTATTGACAGTTTTCAAAGACTGTAGGAGAGTACTGATATCTATGATATAAGTATGATATAATAGACTATTTCGAAACAGACAATAAGTATGATATAATACTTGAACACATATGTTGGATTATTACACTTGGTGTAAGTACCTATGCCTATTCGAACTTTCTAGGCAAAACGAGAGGTGTCAGCAGAAAAACCTGAACTCGTGGGCTTTCATTTAGAAGCTGAAATGCTTGAATAGCACCCGTTGGCAAATGCGAGTTTGACCGCAGCAGGGAGTCTGGATGTTGATCTCCTACTGCCATGTCCTCATGTCGAACAGAATTAGATGAAGCTAGAAATCTGAAAATTTAAGAAAGAACCCTTAAAAGTTTCAAATAATAAATAGATAATCATAATCAGGTAGAATTCACATCCTCTCAGAACCAAGGTTTGACTAATTTATTCGCAAGAATTGACTAAAGGGAGAAGATGAAATTCAGTAAAACAGTACAATCGGCCAGCGTGCGATAGTTCAGAAGTTGCTTCTCTAGCTTCCTGAAGAGTGGGCAGGCCGATAAATATAAACTTAGGCAAGGGCTCGCCGGCCGTAACCCTCAGCTCCTCCTTCGATTGTGACGAAGAAGCCATCAGTGGCGCGTCCATCGCTGCCCGTGACCGGGCGGACACGACAGCAACCGAGACCGGGTGGTTCTCTACCTTGAGCTGCCGATCACCTCCATTCATCGGCAACGTCCTAGTCACCTTCGCCGCGGCCTTCATCGCTCCTGCGCCTCCCATAGAGTTTTTCCCGATAAGAGACTCTGTACTTGTACTAAACAATGGGTTAGCTAACAAATAACGTGGCAGAGCGTGGACAGTGAGAGAAAAATTAAATAATATCAATTTTTTAATTCATAAAATTGATTGATTTGTACTTTCTTTTTTTCATTGGCAAAGACCATTTTTTTTAATCAGCGGTCGATCTCGACCATTTAAAATAAGGGATGAAGGTAGAGTTAAAAGGATTGGAGATACGGGGGAAATGGATGATACTTGGTAGTGGAGAGAAAGAAAGCAAAAGTATTGGATTCCCCATTAATTTTACTTGGTATTTCCATAAAGTAGTAGTTAAAAATTATTAAATGCTAGGTCCAAAAATAATTTATGCTATATCCTTAAATTCTATTGAATGTAAAATTTAATGTAGCTATGTTGCGACATATATTGATGTTAAACATTAATAATATTGTGTAAAATTGTTATAAAAAATAAAAAAGGTTATATTCTAAACAAGAAAAAGGAGAAGGTCTACCGTCACAGTCGGCTCAACCATGAAATCATCAAAGCAGTCGCCTAAGCCCGTAATATGCAAGGTCCCAACATTTTGAAATTTATATCATTTTTCCCTTTTTAATAATAGTTCTATTAAAAATGAATAGTGAAGGAAAGATCAAAATAAAATTCAACCTAAACAATAACCAGCTACCTAGTCCCACAATCAAAATCAAAGATGTTTGACCTTCAGCGACGACCCCCACCCCCACCCCTTTTTCTTTTTCTTTTTCTTTTTCGTTTCTTCTGTTAGAATTTAATGGTGTTAGTGGATGAAATCGGGGTAATACATATCAAATTTAAACATATCGTAAATACAATTTACTGTATTTACAGTCAACCTACCGTATATGCAACCTACTGTATTTGTAACTTACCGTATATGCTGCATACCGTATTTGCACATATTATCTTTACCCATTTAGATACCGTATTTTCATATACTGATTTTTGCACTTACACATACCGAAATTATAGAATACCGTATATGCAGTGAACAAGACAAAATCTAGTTAGATTTAATTTTCAGCAGAATAAACAAATTAATTTGATCAATTAATCTAGTTGGCCAAACAACGAAGATTAGTTTTTAATAAATGTAAATAACACGACAGCATAATCAAACTGCAAATTATATGAAGCAAACCGATTTGTATTCGAACAATATCACCACCAAGACGACGTTGGCAGAAAATTATGTAGGCAAACAGAAAAAATTATGTTGTATGCAGACAAAGAAATTTTCGTGTGACACAGAATTGTTGGAAAATTCAGATTTAATATAACTTAAATCTACCAATTAACTCTATAGCAATAAACACTGGAGTTGCTCCAGTTTTCAGAAACTCAAAGGTCAATTGGAGAAAGTAAAAAAATTGCAAAACGTGAACATTCCAATAGGGCCAATTTTTACTCGTTCGGTCCGACATTCGTGCCCGCACACAAGTTCAAAGTCCGAAAGTTATTTCGTTCCATGATTTACACCCCTGCGCACGCTAGTCTTTATGCTACACATAATTATATCATTCTAATGTTTTCTTTTTTTCTTTTGTGGAACAAATGCTATTTTCCCAAATAAACCATCTTCCAATGGTCAACTTTGAACTCCAATTTCTCATTCACCCGAGTTTCATTTTTGACAAGTAAATATATGATTTTGATACTCTTATGGGGGAGAATGCGAATCAACTTTGATCTTCTAAATTGAACCAACGGATCCCACCGAAAATTGTGTCAAATGTGAGCCATTTACTCGTTTTTCCAATATCTTCTACCGTTGAAAACACCAAAGACTTTTAGATTATGTAATCAAAGTAATAAAATTTTCAATTATTAAATACTTGCAATCAAAGCATCAATTTTGAATAACATACCGTTTATAGTATTATATTGATGCTCTTTTTTGAGTTGGTTTTGATATTTTTACTTAATTGGTAAGGAATCTATGGTGAGGTTATCTTTAAGAAGGTTATACTTTTACCTTTTTATTTGTATTTGTAACGCCGGTAATATGTAAGGAGGATTTTTCTTTATTTATTTATTTATTGGGGATATATTTGCTGCTTTATTTCTGATGATCTTCTCCATATATATATATATAACTGAGGAATTTATCAAAATGTCACTTTTTTTGAAAATGCACGAAAAATTGTGATGTGCAAATAATTTGTACAAAAATATCACTTTCTTGTTGTCAAATGTCTGCAATTTGATCTTTTTTGGAGCATTTAATGCTCATTCATGATTGTTATTCAAAATAATTAATGTTGTGATTTGATTGTTTAATTTGTATATTATAATCATGGAATATATGAATATTATATTGTAAAATACGAATTTAGTTAATAAAAAATGAATATAAAATCCTTCAAAACCCTAGTTAACATAAAAAACAAATTTCTTGTTAAACAAACCCTTATTTCATTCATCTTCTTCATCCATTTTTTTATTCATCAAGAAGACTTTACTTCATCCATCTTCTTCTTCATCAAGAAAACTTTACTTCATCCATATTCTTCATCTATCTTGAAAGGTCAATTATTACGAATTGTTTATATTTTTATGCAATAACTTACTCTTTTTAAAATGTTAAAAACAACATGGTAATCACTACTATTAATCATTATGGTCTTTTTTTTAATATTTTTGAAGGAAAAACATACCAAAAATATTTAGGAAAATGTGAAGTATTCCATATTTAATGAAGCATTCAGTCATTTATTTCTAGAAATAGGTTGTGATGTTGTAGTTGAGAAATGATTATAAGCATTAATGCTACCAAATACATTTGAAGCTTCTCGACAGTTCCGACAGTTGAACTGTCGAACTCGACATTTCGAAACTATCGAGATCGACATTTTAACTGTCGAACCCGATAATTATAAATTGTCAAGAAAGATAACTAAACTGTCAAATTGGACAGTTAAAAATTCTTGACACCCTTCATTTGACCTTGTACTATTACATAGGTTTAAATATTCGAACGTATCACTTTCATGCTATTATTTAATCAACATATTGATTGCGCATAATTCTTATCGTTGCAATCCCAACATTTCAGATATGAACAATAATTTGAGATTCATCGTGTCGCACGGGGGAAAGTTCATTCACGTGAATAACGAATGGAAGTAGACTGGGGACAAAACCACTTCCATTTTAGTGCCGAACAATATTACACTATCGGGGCTATTATTACAGTTGAACGAGAAACTTGGTGTTCTCGATCCGCACATAAAAATGGAATTGAAGTTCTAAGTTCCGAACATGAATATATCACCGGCCAAAATACTCAAAGATGAAGATGGAGATGTAAATTGATACATATCAGTTCATAAGGAAACTATCCTCTGCGTTACGACTTTGGAAACCGGCCTGGCAAGTGTTGAAATGGAGAGAGACACAAATTACAGCCAACAATTGTTCGTCGAGCGAAAGATCACCAAACCGTACGGGACAACAAGCTCAGTCATCAGCACAGTGTCCCAAACAATAATGCAGTGGATACTCCAATTTTTGATGTTGAGACTGCACCATTAGATGAGATGTTCGACGACCCCTTACATGGTACAAATACTGGTAATATTGCTGACGTTGACGAAGAACTATTATCACATTCCAAAAGTCCAGATACATGCAATTGGATTTCCACTGTGAATACGTCGGATCCTACCAAAAGGCAAATATTTTTTACCAAGAAAGAGTTGTACTCGAGAATTCGTCTGCTTACTTTGTGAGAGAAGTTTCAATTTCAGGTTAGCAGGTCAAGCCTAAAAATGTTAACCATTGTATACGTGGACGATAATTTCAAGTGGATGTTACGTGGTTCAAGTGTCAAGCAGTCTGCCATCTTCATGATCCGCAAATTCAACAATGTGCACACATGTTCCATATATTATTGTCGTAATGCACATCGACATGCCACTAGTTCCGTAATTGCCGAGCAGATTATGGGGAAATTGGATAATACGTACGGATCATATGATCCTACCGTTATTGCACGTAACATGGAACGTGAGTTTGATGTGAAAATTAGTTACCATCAAGCACGTAGGGGAAAGGTTGCTTCTTTACATATGCTACATGGTACACGGGGTGATAGTTTTCAAAAACTTTCTTCGTACTGTCACGTCCTAAGAGAGAGTAACCCAGGGACAGTAACACACATCAAGCTAGATTCTCGTAACAGGTTTTACTACTTTTTCCAAGCTTTCGGTGCAAGCATTCAGGGTTACGTGCACTACCTGAGGCCTGTTATTTGTGTCGACGACAGTCACTTGAAAGGTCCGTAATAAATTTATCCGTTAGCATGGGGGATCGTTGATGCCAAAACGAATAGATCGTGGATGTGGTTTTTATCAAATTTGAAAGATTTTATAGGTGACTCCAACGAATTGGTGTTTGTTTCCGTCAGGAAAAATAGTATTGAAAACGCCATTGCCCACCTATTTCCTCGGGCTCACCACGAGTGTTGTGTCTGGCATATGAAAAAGAATTTAATCCAACGGTACAACAATGCTAGTTCAATATTTTTATTCAAAAGAGCCGCAAAAACTTACCGGACCGAAGAGTTTGAAAGACTTATGGGACAGCTTCGTAGGTTAAGTACAAGAGCGTACGGGTACTTGGAGCAAACAAGTTTCCCATTTTGGTCACGGGCACTATTTGTTGGCCAACGGTGCAACATTTTGACCAACAACAACGCAGAATCTTTGAACTCAATGTTGAGACATGCCCGTTCGTTACGGATCACGTGCTCAGTGGAACATATTCGGTATACTATGCAGAAGTGGTTTTATGAATGTCCAGCTAGTGCAATCACATGCAGTACCGTATTATCACCAACGATGAAGAATGAGTTACAGACGACATTCAAAGCAGGTAGTAGGCTACGAGCGCATGGCTTGACAGATAACTTAACACAAGTTGGAATATCCAACGACACGGACATCGTAGACTTCTCCGAAAACACGTGCACTTGTCATGAGTTCCAATTGAATCGTATGTCGTGCATTCATGTAACCCGTGCTGCTTGCTTGAGAGGTAAGTCATTGTACGATCTCTGCTCACTGTATTACATATTCGAGTACTGGAAGGGTGCCTACAGAGAAACTATATATCTTGTTTTGCGTGAATTGGACTTGATTGTTCTAGCCAAAATTACATGTACTCCTATTATGCCCCTCAGTGTACGTCGTCCTCCAGGTACACCACCGACACGACGTAAGCGATCCAAAGACGAGTGTACCACACTGCTCAGGAAATGCACTCGCTGCGGTGGACTTGATCATAACCGGACCACATGTTCGAATCACACTGTACCACGTCCGATGTAAGCAACATTTTGTACGTGAGTGGTTGAAGTTGTAAGTTATGTGTTCCCCCGATGTCGTTAGTATATAATAATGTAAATATTGTATTACTGTTTTCATTCTCTTATGCATAAACAATACTCTTTCTTACATTCACAATTACAGTACGTAAATAGGCACAACGTACTGCATAGCACCCTCGAACCAAACTACAATTTTGTTGTACATAACATTGTTGCCATTGTTCACACATGTAAATTGAATGTATGTAATAGGAAACGTTCAACCAAAATACATGTTTCCTTTCATATGCATGTTACGAACACATCATTTTTAGCGCATAACACTGTCCGCATTATTCACAAAGTACGTTGAATGTACACATGAGGTTGTGTTCATTCACCCAAAATACATGTTATAATTCATATGCATACTACGAACACAGAAATTTTGCCAGTAAATCCCAACAGTTCATTTGTCGTTCCCGACAGATGGTGCCTGCCATTCTCGACAGTTGTTCGACGGTTCGCTTAACAAAATACAAAATACACATAACATGCCAACGGGAGTTTCCTACATGCTACAGAATTGGTACATACGTAACAAAATACATCCCTTACAAAAAACATTATACATACATACATAGAAACCCACACATGCAACGAAGCCGGACTCTTCGCTCGGAGCTAACACTTGAACATTCTTCCCCACCATCATCATCTGAATCATTCGACCTGATGACAATTACCTCTGGCGATGGAACGCGGCCCTGCCCCTCATCCTCGTGACGTTCAATTTTGTCTGTATCCATAAATGGGATGACCCATTCAAGCACATTTCTCGGAGACTCACCTACATCACTTGCAACTTCGTCCAGGTTCGGAAAGAGAACGACAATGATGGTTCTCCTACCACCATTCGAACTCACTTCCTCATCGTCCAAAGAAATTACGATGGGACATAGTAGGGTTGAATCGGGTGTTGGCAAAGGCTCCTCAACTAGCAGTGGTGAATTGCTTCCCATGGACGATATCATTGTTTTGATAAGAAGAAACAGACTTGAAATATTGTGATACGTTCCTGCTACAAGATGCCTCACAAAGAGTCTCATGTATTTCACTTCAAGAGTGCAAGCCATGCTATATACTGGAGGTATTTGAGGACATTTAAAGCAATTTAGCAACCAACCAATATTTCATTTTTGCTTAACACTTGATTGAACATTGGTGTGATGGTTTAGGGTGTAAGTGTACTTTCATCCCTAGGCTCTCTCCATAAATGGTGACAATTATGAGTGAATTGTACCCATGTGCACGACCTGCAATGGCAACATTCCTACAGCTGGATTAGCAATCAATTTGGAAGTTAAATTACTTTATTGAATTTTTGTAGTCCTTAGTCATTATTGAATACAGTTTTTAAATTCGAAATCATATGAATTGCATTAAAAATTGATAAAACTAATGTTCCTGCCAATGAAGATGAACATTGGGTGACACAACAAGCCATTGTTCAAATAAATTATAATTTGTACGAACAAGCTAATTTATACTAAAACACATGTTCAAATAATGTTGGGGCCAACGTAGCAAAGATAACAAAGAATTATTCGTACTACGGTAAGGCGAATTTTAAAATAATCATTGTCCTCGATCCTTCGATCACGCTCCATTGCACACAAAATCATTAGAATGATTCATTTGTACACGAATAACACATTCAACTCCAATGAAATTAAAGTACAAAATACTACTACTTCACCAAGTAGCACGAACATCAATTTAATTAGAGTACAAACAAATGTCCTGTCTCAATGTCCGTTCAACTTAACCATATCACAATATGGAATTGAAGTAATCTAATAACCCCCATTGAGATCATTAACCACATCATATGGAATAGGAGTAATAGTCTTCACATTTGCACCTTCGGGCATGAACCCAGATTTGGGTCCCTTTGGCTCTTTTTTTGTGCTAATCACTATACCTCTTGATTTAGCCTCAGCCTTCGTTTTGTCTGTACTCTTCATTATTTTGCAAAAATTCATCATCACACCTCGATAAACGCACATGATCAACTCAAAAATCAGCCCTTCGAATGAATTTGCTATCTACGTGCATCAGATGTGTGCTAAAGTGAAATGACACAGCAAAGAATGTTCGTAACTATCATCCAATCAACGTACAAGCCAAAAAATTTACTCACCCATGGAGTAGGAAATGTGCATGCAATATAATCAGCAAAAAACGAACAACCCTTTCACATATAACTGGGATGTATAAGAATGATGATATATCATTTTAGTTCTGATGTTGATCAAGCATTTCACATATCATGATATATCATTTTAGTTCTGATGTTGATCAAGCATTTCACATATCATGAACAATACATGCATTATTTTGTTAACACATACACACAAAATTGACAGGCAATACCATCCCATACTTGCACTAAACATTTATTATCACAAAACGATATGTACTCTACATAAGATAGTTTAACGTGTAGCATATGGCTAAGCAAACCTATCCGTCCATAAAACTAACCAAATTAAAAGCATGTCCTTGTTACGAACAACGTATCTACTACTACAGCACACCTTGCCGGACTACTTCAACTCACTTATTTCTTTACTCTCTTTGCCCTTTTCCTTGTATATGGAGTCCGAGTAGGTGGTGCAGGACGTCAAACACGAGTCGATCGCCACTTGTTTGTGCTGCCCATATTACCTCCCTTTTCTGCTACGGTCACCTGTCTCGGCAACTCTGTGGCAGCGTCTATATAAAAGATTTCAAAATTTTAGTGAAACAGTTATGTGTGAAGGAGGCCACATAGTCATGGAATAAGATGGACCCGTTTAAAATAGGCACGTACTGTCCACCTTCGTGAAGTCATGGGTCGATGGGGCTTCCTTGTTGTCGTCCCTGGGAAGCGTGGGGACGGTCTCTCCTGGGTCTAGTTGAAAGCAAATTGGGTGAAATGGACAAACACAAGATATGAATTATCATTTGCGTAATGGGGAAGTGATTGGTAATAGAACCCAAATCACAGAAGTTAACAAAAATTACGCACATATCGTTCACCTCTTGCATTTCACCCTCCTCAACATGGTCGTCATCTGTGGGCTCCGTTCGTCTTCGCCTTCCCCGTCTGGTTGGAAGATAAAGAAAAAATTATTCAAGAAGAGAAATTGAATACGTTTGCATATCACGAGATGAGATGACAGAAGTTGAAAAAAATTACGCACGTACCGTTCGCCTCCTGCATTTCACCCTCCTCTACATGGTCGTCGTCCTATGGGCTCCGTTTGTCGCTGCCTTTCCCGTCTAGTTGGAAAATAAAGAGAAAATTATTCAAGAAGTGAAATTGAATACATTTGCATATCACGAGATGAGATGACATAAAATACAAAAATTATGCATGTACCGTTCACCTCCTACATTTCAGCCTCCTCTACATGGTCGTCGTCATGTGGGCTCCGTTCGTCGCTACCTTTCCTGTCTAGTTGGAAAACAAACAAAAAAATTACGAAGGACTTAAATTGAATATAGTTGCATATCACGAGATGAGATGACATCAAATACAAATATGTGTTACACATAACTAACTGAAATATCATTCACCTCCAAGTTCCCGGTAGGCGAAGGACGGCCACCGTCATTCGGGCACAGGTCCATGTCTCCTTCATCTACATCTAAGTAATTTGGCAATTAAAAAAATACATTTGAAAGCGAACGCATAGGAAAAATTGCACGGCTCTACAAACATGTTGTAAGTGGAAGTTACAGTAGAACAAACTTATACCTTCGTGGGGGCCATCCCAAATGTTTGGCTCATTCACGACAGGAGCTGCAGCTGAAGTGGAAGTACCACCGGACGGGGGCACCAAGCTAGATATGAAGTCTCTCAGTCTGGCAAACTCCTCGGTCACGTATTAAATGATTTCAAGCTTCACGGTCCGCAACCTCATCTCGATGAGGATGCGCTGGTCCAACAACATGCCGCTGGTCCAACAACATGCCCTCGACGTCCTCCCTCATCACAGTCGGTCCACCACGCGTAGCCTGAAGCCCGGATGTGGACGGGGCACCCATTGGAGTGGGTAATGCACCCGACTACCGTCCCGAGGCATCATCGTCGTCCTCGGTGTCACCAGCACCGGTCTCACTGGAGGTGTCACGATTGCTGTCTCCACTCTCATCAGCCTTAGACCCATCGTCGCCATTACCCTCTGGTGTCTGACGGTCATCGCTCGAGGATGTCTCATCGTCCTCGGCCCCTGCACCGGGCTTGTCATCATGGCCGTCACCTGCAGCACTACCGTCATGTCCCCCATTGCGCGATTTCGCCTTATGGAACTGTGGTCCGACAACACTCCTAGCTAGGTCGTCCAAAAATTACACCGGACGTTCATGGAACGGCACCAAACTAGTGATATATGGGAGATCACGCTCGGCCTCCGTGGGACACAATGTGGTGTACACGTGCAGCTGTAGAAACAGGGGAGAACAAGTAGTTAAAATATATTGCATAGTATTCCCAAAAAAATAAAATAATTGAAAGGCAAAAGAAAAATGTCTATGACCTATATGTCCCTGAAGAATGCATCGTACGTACGCTGCTGCGATTGTATGTAGAGGTCCAGCTCAAAAGCCGGGGCGATCGTTTACCCACCCTCTGACCGAAGCATTCATCGAGTTCGGACACGGCCTCATATGCCCAAATCTGTCTGGACAAAAATAAAAAAATTGTCGCATAAATATCCATCCAAACAATGTAGATAACTGTTCTAATACTTACAAACAGAAAATATAAATTTAATGTTGTTCTTACCTGCATGGCGATCGAAAATCTGTGAATTGTATAACTGATATCCTTCTCGTTCTTCATCTTTGCATCGCTCATTTTACGTGCCTAAGTACCTCGGAATCCCTTCAACAAACGCCTATACCCCACTTTGGCCCAGGGGTAGGAAAAAAATAGCTCCAAGTCGTCAACAAGGGAAAGTGTATCCTCATCAA